CCAACTCTACTTCCAGATTCTCTATGAAGCTGGGGCACGTGCTCATGAGACAGCCAAGGGCCAGACCTGCAAAGGCAGTCCCTGGGCAGGCTCAGCACAACAGCCTTAATGTCAGCCAAATTGTGCAGAAGGACACCAACCTGTATGGGATTCGGATCCCCAGAATGGCCATTTCTGCAAAGAACAGAATGCTGTCTCGACAAGCAGCGCACTGGAAGCACAAAGAGCCAGCAATCAAGGCCTGTTGCTGCAGGAGAAGCACAAGCAGGGTGAGTGTGAGCAGTGCCTGGTGCTGCTGAGCACCAAGCGTGCGTACAGGGTGAGGGGAGGGCTCCTACCTGGATGCAGCCCCGGTGGAACCAGGCATGTTGGCATGCTGGGCACACCAGGGTATGGTAGGACAAGCTGTCCCCCACAGGCTCAAGGCAGATGAGGCAGTTGGTGCCTTCTGCTGGAGCTTCAGAAATGTCCTGTTGAGGGCGGTGCTCCGGACAGAAGGTCCTGGGGGAAGAGGGAAGACGTGGTCACAGTGAGAAGTGCTGTGAGGAGGGCAGAGGAGCAGGAAGGAGCCTCAGGCCCTGCCTCTGTCTCTGGCAGGCTGCTGGGAGGCGTAAGTGCGGGTTCCTCCCTGGCTTGGCTGCTGCTGCCGGCCCTTACCAACGGTACCCAAAAAAGTGGGTGACACATTCCCCGTCCATGGCACAGGGCAGATGGAAGCTTCGCTGACAGCTTGTCGCCACGCATGTGATGGCAGCCCCCCTCTCGCCACAAACAAAGCATTGCTGGAAAGAGCAGAACAAATCCGTCAGCAACAGACCTCAGGGCCTCAGTGGCTGGCCCCGCACCTCTGGGCACAGCCAGCTGGGTCACATTCTACAAAGATGCCTAGCAGACAGGGCTCATCTCCTGTGGCAGCACTTTGTCGTGGAGGTGGTTGGAACGGCTGCTATTGCTTTCCTTGGTCCAGACTAAACTGGTGTGAGCCCCTCCTGGCACAAATCTGCCTGCTCCGTGCAGGTCCTCACCTGCTTGGTGGCCTGTTTGACTGCACGTCTGATGGCATCAACAGGGAGGCCCAAAGTTCCCGACTGCGTTGGTCTTGCTTCAGAAGGGATTTCGGCAAACTCCTGTAGGAGAGAAAAGAGCAGGACCTCATTAGGACAGAAAGGAAAGGAGCATCCCTGGTGGTAATCTGGAAGGAGCCCATGGGGGAACTCACCAAGCAGAACTCATGGACATGAATCCCACTTTCGGAAAGCATGTTCCCACAGATGTCCGGGTCGACATCTGCCCGGCCACACAGGATGCACACTGCAGAGGAGAGAGCAAATGTGAGCAGCGGTGAGCAGCTGGCAGGGCCAGGTGTCCCTGAGGGCCGTCGCCAGGGTCCTGCTCTGGAGCGGTGGAGGCGGTGGAGGGGAAGGGGCTGAGGCAAGGCCAAGGCAGGCACGGGCCAAGCCAGACCCCCTTGCCAAGGAGCAGAGGGGCCCTGCCTTGCGGCAGTTGGGGCATCCGTGCCTGTGCTTTCCTTGCCTCCCACCTGCAGACAGAGCCCCAGCACTCCTCTGCCTGTTGGCAGGAGCTGTGCACAGGGATGCTGTGCTCTCACCTGGCTCCTGCGAGCCAGAGGCCTTCCTCTTCCTATTGGACATGATTGTGCGTTGATAGCGAGCACTGCGAGAGTCCTTGCTCTCTCTGCGCCTCACCAGACCGCACTGACGCTCTGCCCGAGCCCGGCAGCCTTTGCTCTGCTCCAAGCTTCGTGCATCACAATGGCCGCTCTGTGACACCCACTGTGACATCA